AAAAGGCATGAAAGAATACCATAAATGAAAATGCATAATAGTGCATTATAAGTATGAATGGATGCTCTCAATGAAAATAAAGAATAATGACTAAAGAGATAAATGGAAAAAGAAAAATATAAAGAAATATAGGTATTCTAGGCATACAAAAAATAATTAAGGTAATTGTGAATGGAATATGGTTTAACTAAGGAGGATTATAGGATCCTTAAAGAATATACGATTTAGTATGAACTAAATAAATATGACGTACTTATGTATACATAAAGATTACTTATAATATTATGTATCACTAAGTAAATACTTAATGTGTGTTGCTTCCACGCGTAGGTTAAAGAAGAGACGAATCAAATAAGGAGTGCAGCAGTAGCAACGAATATCATCAATTAAGGTTGACTCGTGTGTAACTATAGGACAATCTGGTTTGTTTTGGAAAATTTAGTTGGCATGTAATTAAAGTATGAAAAATGCTCTGAATTGTATTTAAGTAAAACCTCTTATCATATTTCAATTAATGTTTTGCGTTATTTTAAAAATGTTATGTTTTAAGAAAATCTGGAAACAAAATTTTACGGGTCTTTAAAAGAGGAAATATTTTAAAAGTGATGTGACATATGTATTTCGTGTACGGAAAGGTATACGAGATATGGGTGTTACATGCTTTTTCATTTATGGCATCATTTCATGCCGATAATGCCTCGTTATGCATTTTCATTTATGGTATCCTTTCATGCCAATAATGCACCGTTATGCTTTTTCATTTATTCATTCATTTTAGAGCAATTCATACTCTAAAACTTATTCATAATATTATTTTCATACACATAATGAAAATATATTAAATAATGTAAAACATAAATTAAATCAAAATATTCTAAGTTGACTCATTTATAGTCTTCCTCATCTCATATAAATACAATAAATGCACTCACCTGATATTCCTTGCTAATAAGATGTAATGATGTCCGACTATTCATCAACTTTATCTTTTCCCTTTTTCTTGCTAGACTCAGGAGCTTGATTATGATCTACATCATCATCCATTAAAGACACATACCATACCAAATGTTAGTATATTCCCTGACATTTATACTTTAATAATACTCAAAAGTATTATTATTTCAATTTCTATAACAATTTCAACCTATCTTATAATTCCAGGCTCAATAGTATCGGTACCCCTACCATGGTATCGATACTTCTATATTATGGTATAGATACTCCCTTTCAGTGTCGATACTATTTCTACATTATGGAATCCATGGTATCGATACCTTTCTCTTAGTATCGATACTAATTACATCAATATCGATACTGTTCAACATATTTATACATATTTAAACCCATTTTTCAGCTCGTTTTTCCATAAATTTAGTCAATTTCCCTTACTTTTACCTCCAACAATACAATTAAACTCTTATTTACTTATCCCAACTAACTTTCCTTCATTTAGCTTCTTATAACATCTAAAATCTCCAAAGAACATCTCAAACCAAGAATCATACCACTTTTCTAGCATTTTAATCACATCCAAGACTTCTAATCTCTTATTTACTTCTTTGAAAAGCCAAATATACTAATAAACTTCAAAAACAACTCATATAACAACATATCATTCAAAACCCCATTTAATTCAATCTCAAATATTTCATCCATCTCCTAGTTTTAATCTTATTTACCCTTCCTTAATCCTCTATAATACTTAATGTTTCAAGAACAAACCAAAAACGAAAGGAATAGCTAGCTAAATGAAGCCTTACCTTTGGCTATGGAGGAGAGCACTTACACGAGAAGAAGAAGAAAAAGAGATAACTTAGTTTTTGCTTTAACTTTTCCATTTTTCTCTTCTTAAATCCCTAATAAAATTGATTTTAAATTCATTTCCCCTTAAAGGACCAAAATGCTCTCTAATTCTTCCATTGTTATTAATTGGTCTTAAACAATGTTTCTAAATTATTTCTTATCCTTTATCATTTATTCAAATTAATCCTCAAATTTTAAATATTTCAATAAAGTCACTGACCTGATATTTGGGGTATTACAATCAATACTTCTACACCAGAATTTCCAGATTCATCTCAACAAAATCCGTCATCAGACCCACCACCTCGTCAACCTAGAAAGCTTACTTCTTCAGTGTGGAATCACTTTGAGAGGATGGTTGTTAATGGAGAAATAAGCGCAAAGTGTCTGCTTGTGGCCACATGTTCTCTGCCAAATGCACAAATGGAACCTCACATTTGAAAGATTATCTTGAATTTAGATGTTCTAAAAAGCATGTGATGCAAGTTGATTTGCGCTAAAATCTCTTGTCTATTATTCGTAAACCAGACTCATCTATAAAGCTAGAAAACCATGTGTTTTCTCAAGTGATATCGCGAAAGGAGCTAGCCAATATGGTCAATCTTCATTAGTATCCATTATCTATTGTTGAGCACATTGGGTTTTGGAAATTCGTCAAGCTTCAAAATAATCTAACACAATTGGGTTTTGGAAATTCGTCAAGCTTCAAGATAATCTCACACAATACTTTAAAAAATGATATCTTAAAAATGTTTGCAAACGAGACACATGTGGAATTGTGTTAAAGCAATCATTGTCACATAAAATTGTTTATGGTAAACTATACTAAAGATCACTAAGCTATGTAAAAATTACAGTTTTAATTATTAACTTTTTAAAAATTATAAAATACTCATTAGATTTATTGAATTATGTTGATTTTTAGTGTAAAGTTACAATTAAAATGATCATTTTGTAAATATTCAAAAAAACATATGAGCATTTTGTAAAATTTGAGAGTTTAGTGACTAAAACAATTATTGTAGCATAGTTCGACAACTTTTAGTGTACTTTATCTAATTTATATTCAATCAAAATAAAAATTGTTCCTATACTTTAGTAACATTCAGAATAGTTGCCCAAATAAATTTTGTAATTTACTAAATCAAACGTTTAAAAGAGAGAAATTATTTTATGGATTTGACTTACTACGTTATTTACGATTTCAATAAATTACATTAATTAATTTTTAAAATAATTTTTAAATACCTACTCACTCTTTATTTACACATATAAAATAATTTAATAAAAAAATTTATTAATTGAGAATCAAATTTATCTAATAATATTTTTAAAGAGGAGGTAGATATTTCTGTATGATGACGCGGCACAAACTGATTGGAGATGGCACCTCATCGATTGTCAAACTCGTTACCAATTTTCAAACTATCTCCAGTAACAGTGTCACACGAGTGTTATCACGAAGTTCCAATTATATATCGCCACGTGGTATAACGTCCAACTCAAATTTTCCCTTTGCAAACCAAATAATATCCGTTCCTATTTAAAAACTTGAGAAAATAACCTCAGTGACCAAAAATCTCAGATAATATACGATTTTGACCAACTTTTTTTGGATTTGCGAAAATGACCAACAAAATCGCAATGCGATCTCTAATTCGCATTGCGATCTCCACTATCGCAAATTCGCGTTGCGATAGTTGAAAATCGCGTTGCGATTTTCCATTTCGCGTTGCGATAGTCTACAGTCGCGTTGCGATTTTCCATTTCGCGTTGCGATTTTCCGTTTCGCGTTGCGATAGTCTACAGTTGTCGTTGCGATTTTCCAAATTCGTTGCGATAGTCTTAAAAAAAAGATTTTGTTTCTTAAGAATTTTCTCTAAAAAGATAGTATCCGCGCGGACGTGTCGAAGACACGTACTACCACTACCACGACCACGACCACGACCACGACCACGACCACGACCACGACCACGACCACGACCACGACCACGACCACGACCACGACCACGACCACGACCACGAGACGAGACGGACGGCGGCGGCGCGCGAGAGTCCCCCTTGTTCTCTATCACTCAACAAGGAAGTGGAAAAGCCAAGCCTTAAATACCATTCCCAATAGTGTTTCCAATACTATGTGGGATTTGAGCATTACCAACACTTGTTCCCAATACTATGTGGGATTGAGCCTTAAATAGTGATATTATTTTTGAATGTTTTGCTTAAAATTGCAATAATCGCGATTGATTGTAGATTGACTTTTAATTATGACATATTTAATCGTATAATACTAATGTAATTGGTTGTTGATTCAGTTGTTTTAAGGTGCATGATTGTTAATTGTTTCCTGAATAATCACATTGTATTGGAAACAAGTGTTAGTAATGCTCAATCCCACATTGTATTGGAAACACTATTGGGAATGGTATTTAAGGCTTGGCTTTCCCACTTCCTTGTTGAGTGATAGAGAACAAGGGGGACTCTCGCGCACCGCCGCCGCCGTCCGTCTCGGCTCGGGTCGTGGTCGTGGTCGTGGTCGTGGTCGTGGTCGTGGTAATGCGTGTCTTCGACACGTCCGCGCGGATACTATCTTTTTAGAGAAAATTCTTAAGAAACAAAATCTTTTTTTTAACTATCGCAACGTGAAATGGAAAATCGCAACGCGACTGTAGACTATCGCAACGCGAAATGGAAAATCGCAACGCGATTTTCAACTATCGCAACGCGAAATGGAAAATCGCAACGCGACTGTAAACTATCGCAATGCGAAATGCAACACGAATTTGTGATTATGGAGATCGCGTTGCGATTTCAACTATCGCAACGCGAAATGGAAAATCGCAACGCGATCTCCAACTATCGCAACGCGAAATGGAAAAACGCAACGCGATTTTCAACTATCGCAATGCGAAATGCAACGTGAATTTGCGATAGTGGAGATCACAATGCGAATTAGAGATCGCATTGCGATTTTGTTAGTCATTTTCGCAAATCCAAAAAAAGTTGGTCAAAATCGTATATTATCTAAGATTTTTGGTCACTGACGTTATTTTCTCTAAAAACTTTTCCTATTGGCAGTCACAGTATTCAAAACGACAGCACCTACAGTTGTGGCAACAAATTGCCTCCAGATTTTGCTTCCTTCTAAACGAAAAATATCTATTAAAGATTTCATTCGATCTGCGAAAATAGAAAGAAAAAAAAAAAACTATATTTCCTTTGCGGCGTCTCCTATCCGTAAAAGCTCATCGACTGTTAGAGGGACAACGATTGTAGAATTAAGATCAGAGGTTTTAATCCCTAATTCTGCTTGGAAGTCTAATTTCTGTAATTTTTCTTTTCTATATTACTAAGTTAAATTGTTTCGATCTATTTCATTTTCATTTTTGCTTTAGGTAAAAAGAAAAAAGAGCTTCGACTCTTCCGTCGCTGTTGTATTAGAAGTAAACGACGACGATGAAGAACGCTGAAAGGATCGCCAATTTGGCTTTATTAGGTTTGCCTTTTTGATCTATTCTTGATAAATTTTTAGTTTATATATTACATTTGGTTTCATTTTGAACTAGTTTTTTTTCCGGATTTTATTATTCAGTTGTTGAATTTAGTTGAGTAGAAGCAGAGATAATTTAGTTGTTTACGGTTAAAGAATAGATGTCTCGTGGCTGATTTTTTTAGGGAATGAATGTGACATAAGTGGCTGTCAGATATGAGATCTCTATGGAGGCACATGCATAGTATATTTCCATGCTTCAAGATTCAAAGAGCTTCGTTATTTGCTAAATGCAGGGTTGACAATGGCACCGCTTGTTGCGAAGGTAGAACCCAACTTGAATGTTGTTTTGACTGCATGTCTAGCAGTGTATGTGGGTTGCTGTAGGTCTGTCAAGCCAACTCCACCAGCAGTGAGTAAATTGATTTTGGTGCTTTCTGGTTTTGTTTTTAAGGATGTTGGTCAGAATTATCTAACAACGTCATGTCTATCATCCAGGAGTCGATGTCTAATGAACATGCTATGCGTTTTCCATTCGTTGGGAGTGCAATGCTGTTATCGCTTTTCTTACTGTTCAAGTTCTTGTCAAAAGACTTGGTTAATGCAGTATTGACAGCATACTTCTTTGTTCTTGGAATCATCGCTCTTTCGTATGCACTTTCCATGAGTTTTCTAATATTGATTTACTTTTACACAACCCGTTTACCTGATGCCATTACCTCATTTATTCTTTCTGCCATCATTCTCAGGGCAACAATACTGCCTGCTATAAAACGCTTCTTGCCAAAGCATTGGAATGAAGACCTTATCATTTGGCATTTTCCATTCTTTCGTTGTATGTCCTCCTTTTGTTATTTCTTGAAGTATAATTTGAGTTTTATCTATAAGAGGATTTGATTAGTTTTGGAATGGGATTATCTTTTTTCTTCCCAAATTTAACTGTGTTATAACTGCTGCTTCATCCTTTTAATTTTATGATGTTTTTTGGCTTTATTGAAGATTCTCAATTTACATTTAGTCTTGTGTGTTTCTTCCTCATTCAGTTTCTTTTGTTGTTTGCCATTTTCTTCTTCTGAAAATTACTTTGGATTGGTTTCTCGTGTGGGGAAGGAAGTTATATGGAGATTGGAGGAACTTTTTCACCCTTTCTGTAGAAGGATACTAGTGTGCTAGGTGCATTAAAGTTCTGTTTTTTAAATTGGTAGTTCCTTAGAAGATTCTGCTCAAGTTTCTTTCCAGGATTTGCTCTTAGAATTTCATAAATCCAAAATGGAGTAAATTTTTAGATTCTTGTGATACCATTTAGTATGACACATTCCTTTGGCAATTTATGAGCAGTCTGGTTCTTGGGCCATATAAAGTTGCGAGGCCTGCCCACTGGAATAGTTTGAATGCAGAATCCTGTTGATGATTCAAGTTTTGGGTCTTAATTTTTTTTCTGGAGTAATATAATCTTTTCCTGTTTAAAGTTGAGTACATGTGTGTTTAGTTGTGTCCATCATTGATTCCGTATAATGTTTATTTGATCTAGTTAACATTACTTGCTTGCATTATGCAGAATGATATTTTTCCTTGCACCTTTCTTAAACAGCTTTTGAGATTGAGTTCACAAGATCTCAGATCATAGCTGCAATCCCTGGAACATTTTTCTGTGCATGGTATGCTTCTCAGAAGCATTGGCTGGCAAATAACATTCTGGGTCTTGCTTTCTGCATTCAGGTATGGCTAAAATCCTTTTTGGTACTTGGTATCTACTACTTTTTCTTTGATTTGCAATGAGACCTAGACTAATCAATAATATCGGGTATATTCTAGTCAGTATTCTAGCTTGTAATATGGAAGTTTGTATGTGTGTCAGACTTTTGGTTCGGTTTAATTAACCTGTTCAATGATAGTTAAAGTATTATTTTCCTTTATCTTTTAATAATTTTATGAAGGTGCAGAGGTGCTTATTTGTTTGCTTGATGGTTTGAAGGTTTCCATTGTTTTTTTTTGTAGGGAATTGAAATGCTTTCTCTTGGATCATTTACGACTGGTGCCATTCTATTGGTAAGAATTGGATTAGTGATTTTTGTGTGTGTTATTCCCTGTTATTGAGGCAAATTAACGTCTAATATGATGTAGCAATGTTTTGCATGTGTCTAGCTATCATGATATGAATCAAACAACTTTACCATAGTTTCTTATTGTTAAGCTGATCAATCATAATATGAATCAAACAACTTCGCCATAGTTGCTTATTGTTAAGATTTTGATCTGAAGACCCAGTTTTATTTCCTGCAATCTGCTTTAACGAGACTTGAATCAGTCCTTGTGGGCTTTGGTTCTATGTTACATTTTTCTTTGTTTTTTAAGGTTATTATTTTGTCAAATTTCAAAGTTATGTTTATTCTTTGGCTGATTAAAAAATTACTTTTTTAGTCAGCTGCTTCTTGACCACTTAATTTTGCCTTCTCATTTTCAACTATGTTTTCTTTCCTCTGATATTTTCTCCATCTTTATACATTGCAGAGTGGGCTTTTTGTATACGATATTTTCTGGGTCTTTTTCACTCCTGTTATGGTTAGCGTTGCAAAGTCATTTGATGCTCCTATAAAGGTCAGTTCTTCCTGCTTTTTTATCCCACTTCATTTGGAATACTTAGCATGGTTAGTTATTGTTTCGACATATGTACTTTACATTTTCATGTATTATTAAATTCGTTACTCATGGTAATAATCTTATTGCTTTGATTCTTTCCTGCAGCTTTTGTTCCCTACAGCTGACTCTGCCCGGCCATTTTCCATGCTTGGACTCGGTGATATTGTAATTCCTGGTATGTTTGAAATCCATTTTAGTTGGTAGGTTTAGTTAATGCTTCTTTTATGGTATGAGCTGTTGTTAAGGGTTTCTTGTTTTATTTTGTAGTCATTCTAACTAAAAGAGAAGTATACTATGATTTTGTATGTTTCAACAAAAGAAAGCGAAATAACTTTTTCCCTTCCTAATTGTATTTTATTTTGTACCTTACCGCATAATTGACAGCTGTTTTACTTTATGCTTTTTGAGATCTAAGGCCATGCGTGTAGAACTGTGCAAGAGTGGGATGGGCAAGGTGTTTTTAAATTTGACCTAGCCTGAATTAAAATTTGAATGATAAAACTAATATATTTTTATTTAAATTCAATTTAAAATATCCTATCAAAAAAAATTCAATAAAATTAGTATATTTTTAATATTTAATTATGTTTTGAATACTAAAATGGGTAATTTGGGTTGGCCTGTCCAGGGCAAATGATCTGGGTTGGGGAGGCTGTGGTCTGGCTTGGCCCTTGAACGCCTCTACTTGCATACTTTTATTTGGTACTAATGCACTTTGTTGCTAGACTATGATCTTATTTACTGCTATAGCACAATGCCTTGTGTTGTTTGATTATGGAGATGTTTATTCAAAGTTTCCTCTTCTGTTATAACCAATGACATTGCCATCATTGTTGCCAACATAGGCAACAAATATTCCTGGGCAGCAATACTCAGCTGCTGGTGTTTTCCTAATGCCATTTGTTCTCTAATGAAATATAAACATTTTGCTTTAGGGATCTGTTATTAAGTAATTAATATGCACTATCATGGAGATAAATTCACATTTATTTGGTTCGGAAAAATTGCTCTTTTAGTTTCCATTTTATTTTATTTGATCGTTATTCTTTTGACAAGTTACTTGTCTGTGAGAAACAGAATATACTTGTGTGAACAATATTTTTTTGTTTGATATATTGGTTTATTTCTCCCTTGTAGGTATTTTTGTAGCACTAGCATTAAGATTTGATGTATCTAGGGGGAAAGAGAGCCAATATTTTAAGAGCACATTTTTGGGGTACATGGTAGGCTTGCTCATCACAATTGTTGTCATGAACTGGTTTCAAGCTGCGCAGGTAAACTATTTATGACCATCTGTCTTATCTAAACCCTAAGCCCTATGCACTCATCCTCTTTCATGACAATTTTCTATGCTCATTTTGCTTTCAGCCTGCACTTCTGTATATTGTACCGTCTGTTATCGGATTCTTGGCTGTTCACTCTATTTGGAATGGAGAAGTTAAACCAGTATGCTCTCAACCCTTGTTTGATTCGCTTTGGCATTATCTTATAGGCTTGGATTTTTTTATTTGATTACTTTTCAAACTGCCATTTTTCTCATCAAAAGGAAAGGAAAAAATGGACATGTTTGATGGATATTAGTAAAAACTGTTATTCGTATATTTTGAGGATCATACTCGTAATCGTTTCTAAGCACGTATTGGATGTATGTATATGCCAAGAGTAATTTCAAGAAAATTGAGGAGTCGGAATGACAAACTATCGGGCTATGATTTGCTTAATATGATCTAATGTTTTGTGTGCAGTTATTGGAGTTTGATGAATCAAAGACAGCGGTTGAAATGCAAGAAGGTAGCGACGACAAATCGAGCCAGAAGGTGGAATGAGTTAGAACCCAAGCAGACACTGAAGCTGGATTTAGCTTGAGATCAGGAAATAGTGTTTTACATTCAAAGGTGAATCTCTCTATTGCAAAACTGTTGTAACAGATTTTGGAATTAACCAAGAAATAATATTTAGCCTCTTAAGAGGGGGGGGGGGAGATGGATTATTTCCTTTTTTACACAATTCCATTTCTCATTGATATTCACAATTTATATAGAACTATAAATATATTGTTTTTTTTCTTTCCCCTTCTTTTCTATGATCGAGTCGATGTTGGCTTAGTTGTGGGTTGAAAAATGTTTTTCAATACATTTTAGAAAACGAGATTAAAGAAGTTTGAAGATTTTAAATATATATATTTAAACTAATAGATGTTTAATGATCTATTTTTCTTTAGGGCATTTGTAAAGCAAAATAAAAAAATTTGTTTAAATCGTAATTTTAATTTTTTTATGGGATTTACTATTACGTTTGCAGTGGTCTTTTGCTCAACAAGATGTCATCTTAAAATGACATTAAAATGAACGTTAGTACACTGATAAAAGACTTTTGTTAAAAGTGAAACATTATATGACATTAACATTTTTTTTATATATAAAAAAAACACAAATTAAACTATTTTAGTGATTAAGGGATAATTGTTGTCCATAGAGGTCTTAAGTTGGTTTAGAATCTTTAGAACATATACTATTTTGTAATAATCTTATTTTAATAAAAATAAATAAAGGTATAATAACACAATTACCCTCAATGTCCGACAAAAATATAAAGGTGGGGAGATAAAATGATTCAAAAAAGGAATAAGGGGCAAAGTGATCATTTGTGCAAACGTTGGAGGTTCAAGTAGCTGTATTTGTAGGTGTGTGCGTGTTTATTCTCAATCGGCTAAGAAAATTCTAATCATCATATATATATAAACAAAAATAATAAAATAAAAAATTAAAGTTAATAAAAATAAAACCTCAAAATACCAGAAATATAATAAATTCAACAATTAAAAGAGAATTGAAACGACTCAAAAAACGGATTAAAGGGTTATGAACCTAACAACATTAATATGAGAAGAATTAATAATAGCATTGAAACACTACTCCAACCCTATTTAATTCATAAGTTAAAAGAAGGGATGTGGAAATATCCTAGTTTTAGTAATATATTGGTGGAAGAAATTGTCCTATTTGCTTTACCGTCCGCGGAAAATTGATATCAGTTGAACTGGTAGGCCAAGCTGAATTCACGTACTTTAACCTAACTTCTCGTTGAATTTACTATTATTTTTTTTGTGTAAAAATTTCAAAGCGTAGCTTTTTGTTTACCATGTGCCAACCCTTTTACGTTGGTATTTTCAGTGCACCATGCCACCCCTTGGTTCGTTATTCCTTCAGGATTTTGTTGCAGCGATTTTTCTCTTCTTTATCACACGTTATTTCGTCCGTTCACTTATTGAAAAATGGAACCGAAAACTATCTCAGGGTCCAAAAGGGTTGTCGGTGCCCTTCCGCTCTTAGGTTCCATGCCCCATGTCACACTCGCCCAATTAGCCAAAAAATATGGACCTGTAAATGGGCACATGCAACATGGTTGTTGCATCCACCCCGGACGCTGCTCGAGCATTCCTTAGGAACCTTGACTTGAACTTCTCTAACCGACCACCTAATGCTGGTGCCACACACTTAGCTGATAACTCCCAAGACATGGTGTTTGCGGACAATGGTCCCAGGTGGAAATTACTTCGTAAACTAAGCAATCTCCACATGCTTGGTGGTAACCCTTGAGGATTGGGCACAGATTCGGGCTCTTGAGTTAGGCCATATGGTTTGAGTCATGTACGAGTCTAGCCAAAAGGGGGAGGCGGTCGTGGTACCGGATATGTTAAAGTATGCAATGGTCAACATGATAGGGCAAGTGATTCTAAGTCGTTGAGTTTTCAAGACGAAAGGGTCGGAGTCGAATGAGTTCAAGGACATGGTGGTGGAGCTGATGACATCTGCTGGAATCTTCAATTTCGGAGACTTTATACCTTCCATTGCATGGATGGATTTGCAGGGGGTTGAAGGGAAGATGAAGAAACTACATAAAAGATGGGATGCTTTGCTGACAAAGATGATGGAAGAGCATGCGGAAACAGCTAATGAACGTAAGGGAAAGCCTGATTTTCTTGATATTCTTATGGCTAACACGGGCAACTCTGATGGGGAAGAACTTAGTTTGGTCAATGTCAAAGCTCTTCTTTTGGTAAGTCTTGTCCTCCTGAGTCAGGGACGGAGTTAGGATCAAACGTTGAAGGGGACAAATTGTTTTAAAGAAAAAGAACAAGGATCTATTAAATATTTAAATCTAAAAATTAGGAAGGACAAAGGTCTTATTTGAATAATATTTAAACTAAAAAGGACCTAACCTGCCAATATACCAAAAATTTTGAGAGGTGCCGACCACCAAGTAGTTCCGTCCCTGTCCAGAGTTTTTGTTTATATTTATTAGGATTAATTTGACACAATGTCGAAATTAGTTATAAACATTTATTTAAATAATTATTTTGGTCTATAATTTTTTTAGAGTTTTTTAGTCCTTAATGTTCAATTCTTCTGGTCAAAATAACTAATTCCTGATAAATGTATATAATGGACATGATATCTTCTTATGCACTAAATTATTGATATGATTTGTGACATATCATCCAAGATAATAACATGACATGTGTCACATCACTCAAATGATGTATTTGTCGTATTATTTAAGGTGATGATATAATATATATCACGTCAATAATTAAGTATATGTGAAAAATATATCTCAACCAATTGTTTCCTTCATCTTAACTAAAGATTGAAACATTATGAAAAAATGTTTAAAAAATAAGAATAGAAACTAAGTGACCATTCAGATAAATGCTCGGGCTAATGTTTACATTGTGCATATTAATTTTATACCCCTTTTGGCATTGGTAGAATCTATTCACAGCTGGGACAGACACATCATCAAGCGTAATAGAATGGGCTTTAGCTGAAATTATGAAGAACCCTGAAATATTGAAGAAAGCTCACGAGGAGATGGACGAAGTGGTGGGTAGAAACCGAAGGCTTGAAGAATCTGACATACCAAAACTTACATATTTACAATCCATTTGCAAAGAAACATTTCGAAAACATCCATTCACTCCCTTGAACTTGCCTCGAGTTTCGATACAAGCTTGTGAGGTAAATGGCTATTACATCCCCAAGGACACATGACTCAGTGTCAACATTTGGGCAATTGGACGAGATCCCGACGTTTGGGAAAACCCGATGGATTTCAACCTTGAAAGGTTCTTGAGTGGGAAAATCGCCAGAACCGAATCACGAGGGAACGATTTTGAGCTGATTCCATTTGGTGCTGGGCGAAGAATCTGCGCGGGAACCAGGATGGGGATCGTGCTGGTCGAGTACATTTTAGGCACGTTGGTCTACTCTTTCGACTGGATGGTTCCTCCAGAAACCGGGGAATTAAATATGGACGAGGCCTTTGGCCTTGCTTTGCAGAAGGCTGTGCCTCTTTCTGCCTCGCCTCGCCCACGCCTCGAGCCAACTGCTTATGTTTCCTAAGCCTACTCCTACCATATCCATGCTCCTTTCTCTTACTTGTTTTGCTTATGTTCGGTGGGGATCCAGAAATATATTTTAAGGTGGATACACATATATTAACAAACCAATTTTTTTATACGTGAGGTGAACATAAACAAAATTTCACGATGGACTCAATAAAAAGAACAAAAAACTATTGAAAGAAAATTCGGATTCTATAATGAGCATGTGTCTACCTGACACAAAAAATTTGCTTTTCTTTGTATTGAATTTTATTACGATAATAACACTTTTGTTCTCTCTATCTGTAACTGCCCTAAAGTATTTGTGTCCGATGCATAAACCAACAATCATGTTAGATACATATTTATGTTAAAAACTCACAAACAAATTCAAATTACATAACTCTTAAAACACAGGCAAGTCGAACACTACTGATTTCGTGGATACGTAAATTACATATCAAAGTGGCACTATGAATTCACATACATGATCACTTATATCACAAAATGAGAAATATTATAACTCGCATACTACAAGTTGTGCAAGAACCCTTACAAATAAAAATACACTATCACGTCATCGAAATTTTGTTAAGAAATAATTCCATACTCTTTCGTTCTATTAATAGAATGTGTTTGGTGGATAGGGTTTAAAATAGGTATGTAAAAAATGATAGACTAACCTTATAGGGTTGGATCTTTTCAAAAACAAGCTTGAGGTAGGACAAATTATATGAAGAAAATAATCAGTACTAAGATAGAATTAGATCTAATGTAAAATTATATTGATCCATCCCAAAATAATTGTATGCATTTGATAATGTTTGGTAGCATTTTGATGTTTGAAGATGCCAATGTCATGTTAAAATGGTAATATTTGTCACATGATTCCGAGTATGATTAAAGTATATGCATTTAGTGAAACTTTGTTGAAATTGATGATATACTGAAGTTTTGGTATATCATTCCATTGTATATATGTTACATATAATCTATGCTAAGTTTCACAAGCTTTGGAGTATCTCTGAAACATGAATTTGATCATTTGGTGCATATGGTATCGGTATAAAAAATAAGGAGTATCGATACAATATGTTTAATGAGAAATTTCGAATGATTATTTGGTATTGTCGTATTGAAATTTACAGGGAGTATTAATAATACATAGGTGGTATCGATACCAATTGCTGGAGTGTCGCTACTCATTAGATGGATCCAAATTTAATAACCCTGAAAGGGTATAAATATCATGGATCAGTATCGATGTCGTCTTTGTATAGTATCGTTACTGGCTGAAGGTATCGGTACCAGATTGAGCTTCAAAATTGGAAAAATAATTCAGCATCGATATCATTCATCTAGTTGTGATATTGTTCTAAAATAGTATTGATATCATATGAATAATATCAATACCATCAATATTAAATATTTAAGATTATTTAATTTAGTCCATGATTGATAATGATGATTATGAAATGATCATTGTCGAAACGATTTTTTCTTAAGTGAGATTTTAAAAACCACATCTTTTTAATTATCTTTCTCTTGATTAATTTTTAATTAAAAAAGAAAATGCGAAAAAAAATCTCTCGTTTCGAAAAATTTGAGATTCCTTTTAAAA